TACATATTATATTTACGTAATCTATTTTTCTGAAAAAAAAACGATAGCCTAAGCAGAAATGGTCACTTTCAACAATCACTATCTCCAAGTCTTCCACAAAGTCGCAGGAATTCGCAATCTGTTAGTCACGTAATTATTGGACCAAATCGAAAATCTTAATAAACCGGTATTGTGGTGTTTCTTCTCTCTTTCTCTCTTTTTTTTTACCAGTCAAGCTTGATTTCATCGAGGAACCCGAATTCGTAGATAGAAGCAACTTATTGAGATATAGAGTAAGTTCAACGAGGAGAAACGACGCAGACCCGTTAGATACGTCTGGTCTGGTTGTTTGTATCGAAGAAATCCTCATTTCGGGATTTCACCGAAATAGTGGGTTTCCAATACACGGAACTTTAACTATATCTCCTCGGCCCTTATTGTGCACAGCCAATCCGTCTCGATACAATACGTCGTCGACTTATTGGCCAGGCCGTCGTTTGTTCTCTTCTCTTTTTTCCTGCGACGAAAAACTTCCTACGAATTCGAGGAGCTCGCAAATACGACGGGAACATGTTTTCTCACGAATGATTCGAGAAATAATGTGAGAGTTCTGTTTCGTTTTGTTATATGTGCAATATAATTTTTGCGGAGGTGAGACGATTTGTTTACTTCGTTGGGGAGTAGTGAGATAGTCTGTAAAAAGTAGACGAAAAATTATTGAAAAGTTAGGTCGAAGACAACAGTATTTTGTTTTTTTTTTTTTTATCAAAAACATTAAAGGGGAAAAATAGAAAATTTTCTAACATGGAGTAGACAAGCTTTTATTTGCATATGTTTTATGTGAAAGGTCATTTAAATTTTCAGGAATACACTATTTTTACGTTTCTAGTGAAAATTATGTATTCTAGAATTTCGTTTTTAGTAAAAATTATAAATTTTTAGTTCAGGTAGTTTTAATGCTCAATGAGTCAGTTTTTCAAATTTCACAAAATTTGGGATACATAGAATCCAAGTAGGATTAATATAATAACTAATGTATGTAGATAATAATAATATATGATATTAATATTAATGTACATACATAATACCAGGTATATTAATAATAAAAAGAGTATTAATTTTAGGAATTCCGTTTCACAAACATATTGTCAAAAAAAAAAAAAAAAATCGATCGAAAGAAAATTGCAAACAAATATTGCGGTATTTCATCTCTCGATTAAATCATTGTACCGTTTCTTCCTGAATATCAAATTCGGGAAATTAAATTATCCAACAGTACGCCATCGAGTAATCCACGCAAGCGTCGTTATTTATTTTATAATCAAAATAATTAAGAGCAGTGACTAGAGAGCAAGAAGGAAAGAAAAAAAAAGACCAATTCGTTACGCGTTTCATGCATTTTCTCTAATTAAAAACATACGCGGCTCGTGCGCAGGAATATATTTCTTTCGAAAGAGGAGACAGAGAGAGAGAGAGAAACTGTACAAGTTAATCCGGACAAATACCGTAGCGTTTGATAAAAAAAAAAAAAAAAAGAAACGGGAGGAAAATTGCAATTAACGGTAATGTCGTCCGAAATAATTACCGAGTTTCCCGCAATTCTCGTCGAGTTGAAAAAAAAGAAAAACGCGGGAGCAAGAGAGAGAGAGAGAGAGAGAACCAGGTCGCAGCCATTAAAGCTCAAAACCATCATCCGAGTTACACGAAAGGCTTGGCCTTTGTTAGCGATAAGTGGAGCTTTCGCGGCGATGCCACGAAGAACCCACTCTTGCTATCGTTCACCACAGCGTTTCGTATTTCCACGTTAGGCGAAAACCTTCGACCTTCTGTGGTCAAGGTCGTTTATACGCTCTTTCTCTCTCTCTCTCTCTCTCGCCGACGGGGCAAATTTTTGCAACTTGCATTCCGTTTAACCTCTTGCTACTGGAATGACGTGCTCACGAGCGTCGAGAATTTTTTTGTCCAAAAATTGCAACATTTTCTCAGTTCTAAGTATATTTAAGTACAACAAATATAATAAATTTATTACTTCAGGCAAAACAAATAATAAATCTATTACTTCTCAATAGTTTCTATATTTCAGTGATGTCATACCGACGAGTTCGAAAGAGAAAGCGACAAATTATTGTATACGGTTCCGTCACTCGTTATGGTCCGCAATCAGTTGGTTTAACCTCTTGCTGCTGGAATGACGTGCCACGCACGTCGAGAATTTTTTGCTCCAAAATAGCAATATTTTCTCAGTTTTAAATATATTTAAAGTATATTTAAATATAAAGTATATTTAAAGTATATTTTAAGTATATTTAAATATAAAGTATACTTTAAGTATATTTAAATATAAAGTATATTTTAAGTATATTTAAATGTAACCCAGAAAAATAAATAATAAACTCATTACTTCTCAGTAATTTTTATCCAATGATATTATCCCAGCCCCCGAGTTTAAGAAGAAAGCGACGAATTACTGTACACGGTTCGGTCACTCGTTATGGTCCGCAATCAATTGCCAGCGCAACGTGGCTAACAAGAAAACACGGTATCGTAAAATTGGCCCTCGATTTTTTTCTTTTCTTTCTTTTTTCTTTTTTTTTTTTTTTTCTTAATGAATAATTTATAGCCGCTCGAGGGAATAATTATTATCCAAAGCGCGCAACTAGAACGTAAACGAACGATCGTTTGTTCGTTCGTTCGTGGTTTGCAATGTAAATTGACGCGAGTTCCCGTCTTTCTCCGAGATTTTCGTTTTGCTTTTTTAACCGCGCGCAATTGCTAATTACGCTTCTGGCGTGGAATTAAATTCCTCGTAGTTACGTACGTGTAAATAACAGCCAGCAAATATATAGCAAGTAAGCGAGATGTTCGAAGGATATTTGAAAATTTCAGTTATTAAAACTCGCATCAAACTTTGGAATTTTTTCATTTCGTTCAATTTTGCTATGCTAATTTCTGTGTAGCGAAGAGAGTAAAATTAAGAATAAACAAGACTTTATATTATTTTTATTGTTATGCAATATGTTAATGTTAATTGATATTAATTATTATGCATTATTGTTGTACCTGTTGTGCCAAGAACGATTACAATTTAGTGAAATTGAAGATTTCTGATGAATGGCAAATTCGGCGTGGTTCAATTATTTTAGAGAATTTGATGAATTATCAGCCAATTCAAATTACATTGCAAATTTCTCGTTTTCTCTTCGATCATTCGAATGGAGATTTAATTGGCAAGGGAAACTGGATAACACGTTAAATATGCTTTTGTAATTTAACCACCACGTTACTCCGGACGTAAAATAATTATCATAATTATTACTCTGGAAATTAATTACACATTACTCGCGTTGCTCGTACAGTTAACTAAGTATTTTCGTCAGCAAATTAACGATGTATTCCAGTTTGTTTCGTAGTTCCTAAAACGTGTGCCTGTATTGACATAATTCTGATTTATATTCTAAATTCCGTCGAACTATTTTAAATTAACCCTCAATAATTTTAAATTAACCCTCGTGTTATTTTTCATATCTTAAATTACTATTTTCTCTTAAATTACTATTTTTTAAAATTACTATTATTACTATTATTATTTTAAATTACCATTATCTAAATTACTATTACTATTTAAATTAAATTACTACTTTCTAATTATTTAAATATTAATAATTATTTTCTATTAAATTACTATTTTTTAAATTAAATTACTACTTTCTAATTATTTAAATATTTAAATAAATATTTAAATATTATTCTAATTATTTAAATATTGTCTTTGCAAGATGGTGTAAACTGTCCTCTTGCAAATAAATTTGGACGCGTTCCTGTTGAAAGTTAATTATACGAGAAAAGGAAAAAAAGAAATGTTCCGTCTCTCATTTAGAGATATTTACGAGGTACACACTTTTTTGTCGGAGGCGTTTCCCAGTGACGTTTCCCGTCGAAAACAGATACATCATCTGCCCGTATGCCAATCAACGGTAATTAAAAAGTCACAGTCCGCATTAGGTCAGATGTCTACTATCCGTATGTATTTATCAGTGAAATATAAATTTAATAAATGAATGTCAAACATCGTTGATATTTTCATCGTGTCTCTTGATTATAAAACTGATGACGTATTTAATTAAAATATCAACTTGAAAACCTCGTCAGGGACATGTTGCAAAATCACTTTCGAAACAGGAGTCAGACGTAGTTTAAATATACTAAACATAATTAAATATAATTTAGTTTTAATAAGTATGGTTAAAAGTACAATTTAGTTTTAATAATTAAACATAATTTATAACAAAGTATTAATTTATTATTGTAAAGGAAATTGGAATTAATAATACTATATATTTACGATAATTATATTATTTATTATTATATATATAAATAATTATATTATTTTATTATTATAATATTTAAACTATATATTTACGATAATTATATTATTCAGAAATTATTGTGCGAAATAAATTTTTGCCTCATCATCTGTTTAATTCATTCGTTAACATTCGGTAATGTTGTTGTTCATTTTTATTAGGACAGATAATAATCTTATATTTCGTATAATTATACTATTTATATAATATTTATAATATACTATTTATAATATTTATAATATTAATATTATAAATATAATATTTATAATATACTATTTATAATATTTATAATATTAATATTATAAATATAATATTTATAATATTAATATTATAAATATAATATTTATAATATACTATTTATTATATATTATATTTATTATATAATTATACTATTTATTATACTATTTATAGAGACCCGATTACGGGCCATATATGATACAAAATCGATTTATTTCGATAATTTGAATTTCACCAATTACGTACAGACGCTACGGTTGATCGAGTAATCCTAAATACACGCGTATGTACATGCAACGCCAAAGCAGTAAAACTAATAGAACTGTCTAGACGATTCTGTCGAATCGCTGTGTACAATTCATAGAACCGAAATTGTACCGTCACCAGCACAGTACGATTGATTAACGTATTTGTTCACAGGCATGTCGGGCAAGGACGTTAGCGGTTGGTCGAAAATCCCCTGTTTGAAGGGACGTTCCTCGAGTAAAGGTGGAAGCGCATCTTCCGGTGCACACGTGGGCCCGCCACAGTGTCCACATTCTGTGTTAAGCAGCACCCGTAGTTCTGTCAGCAGTTCGCCACTGAGCCCATGCCCAACCCCCATGCCATTTTTGGTCACCTCGGGCTCCGTTAGGTGAGCTCCTCTTTCTCTTTTTTACTTCACCAAATTGATCAACCCATTGCACTTCAAAATATAAGTATTGGGTCACTTCAAAGACCGAATGATATAAAACAAAAATAACTTTTACAAACGCATGTTTTTTTTTAATTTGAAAATGTAATTGATGGATTGTTTTTTTTTTCAGTATTTCACGTGTGAAAAATTGAAAAAAACATATGTTTGTAAAAGTTATTTTTGTTTTATATCATTCAGTCTTTCGGTGACCTACAGTTCTCAATTATTTTCTTTCTTTTTTTTTCTTTTTGGCAATTTAACTGGTAATTTGAAAATACACGAGTGTGACTCAACGTGAGAGTTTCCTGTGATAAAAACTAATGTCGAATCGCATTCGACAAAGGAGTGCAAAAAGTTAATTTATTTATTTGAAAATCACGCTCACGTGATGGCATTATCTACAATGACGATGAATGTTCTTTGTAGTTCGTAAAGTATCGCGCAATTGCTATAATTTATATTCAATCGGGTTGTCGTCGTCGTCCGATGCATAATGAAATCTTCTCGCAATAAAGTGCAGAATTAAATGGCGTTGTTTGTCTCAAGGTGCGTCTTTGAATTATCATACACGAGTCAATGTGAAAATTATTTTTTTCAAGTGTCGAGAAAAATATGTAGGGTGCTCACTGAAAGTCTGAATGATATAAAACAAAAATAACCTTTACAAGCACGTTTTTTTTTAAATTTTTTATTATTTTATTTGGAAACATAATCAATGGATTTTTTTCAGTATTATGTGTGAAAAGCAACGTCCCTCAAATGACCACCATTTTCCTGCTCACAGATAAGAAAGATTGAAAATGAGCAAGTTACGACTTTTTCAAACCCTTTCAGTGGCCACCCTATATAATAAAATGATAAATAAAACAAAATATTTAATATATATAATATATTATATAATAAATAATAAAATAGTAAAAAAATAAAATATATAGTATATATTATATATAAAATAATAAAAAATAAAATATATAATATATATAATATAATAAATAATAATATAATAAAATATAAAATATATTAATTTATATAATGTATATAATATATTATATAATTTAATAATATAATATATTATATAATAAATAATCAAATAATAAAATATAAAATATATAATAAAATAATAATGTATAACAAAAAAATTATGGATTTATTTTAATAGGAAGTAATTTTTAGCCCATCCTGTTCTACTTGCAAAATCCTCGCTTCGTTGTCTTATACGAAGGCGAATTAATAAATCACTCTCTTAATAATTTGACCTGAAACTAGGAGGCACTGGTAATAGCCACGCACTTAGGGTGGACGTAAATAGACGGCAAGAAAAGCAAAAATATATTGCCGTTCCACAGATATGACTGCAAATTTATTTTGTTGGGGCTCGTGCTCAGAATTAACAATATTTCGGGATTAACGAACGGTGAAGAGTATTCTTCGCGTTAGTTAGTAACGTAAAATATTCTCGCGGTGAACATTCGCGAGTGGGAACGCGTTTTCCTGTCGGATTGCAAACAACCTCGAATTAATTAGACTCGGATCTGAATATTTTGCTCGAAAGCAGAATTCTAAGCACCGATATTCGTCTATATTTGATGGAAATTGCGAATCGGAATAGTCTGTTCTAAAGGTCATCTCTGCTAAAAATAAGCCACCAGTCTCATTTATACTTCATGCGGGGTTCTATTCAGTAATCGAACAAGCGTATAGTCGCCCGCGGATAGAAAGTATACCGACACTGCAATGTCACTTCTTTTTTTATTTTTTCATTTTTTTTTTTTTTTTTTCAATTCGATTCAGGTATAAACCAACTCACGTATTGTCTTCCTTCGAAATTCTTTCCTTCCTTTTAGTAGCTTATTGCCACTGTCTCAACTTTTGTTTTCTAAATGAAAACGTATGAAATATAAAATATAAATATAAATTTAATATATATTTTTATATTTATTAATGCAAAAATATATATAAGATAAAAATTTATATACTAAATATGTAAAATATCACTCTGCATAATTCTTTGTACAGAGAATATGTATGTACCTCCGGTCAGAAATTAGGAGAAGAACTACACTTGTATAATAAAAATAGTATAGCAAATGCAAATTATATATAATAAGTACAGTATAAAAATACGAATTATATATACAATATAAATGATTGCATTTATAATATACATACAATAAATACAAAACATACTTTACAGTAAAAATGCTGTTAATATATTGATATATTGTATTATATTGTGTTATAAAATACGTATACACGACAAACCATGATAAGTGATTTATACTGAAAAAATAAAAGAGGGAATGTACACCAAATTTTCAATATTTGGAAAATTGTCGATATTCGAACTGTTGCATTTGCATTTGTTGTTGCAAGTTATGCATTTAGTTATGTTTTCGTCGAGTATACTCATCGCCTAGAAATAATTAATGACACATTCTCAAAACAGAACAAAACACTTAAGAGGTGAAGATCATTTTGCAATTGTGTGAAAGCATCTCTTTGTGAAGATCTTCAAATCATCAGCACTGAAAGATTAGTAAAAATGTTGTGTAGGTTGTTGATAAACCTGATAAATGATAAAGGACCCAGATGGGTCCTTTTTTGCTTTTTTATCATATTTTATTATATTTTTATTTTATATTTTATTATAATTTTATATTTATATATTTTATTTTTATTATTTTTTAATTATATTTTTACTTTATATTTTATTATAATTTTATATTTATATATTTTATTTTTATTATTTTTTATTTTATATTTTATTATAAAACTTTATAATATTATAATATTATATTCATAATATTATTATAAAATATAATATATTTATAATAATATTATTTATTATTATTTATAACATTATTAGATTATTTATATTTATAATAATATTATTATTATTTATAACATTTATAATAAAATATTTTATATTTTATTATTTTCTATTATATTTTTATTTTATTATATTTTATCAAAGCTATCGAGCAAACGTCATTAATCAGGGCCGTGTCGATTCTAATTTTAAGCGAACATAGATTCTTATCGATCTTCACTTCTAGCTTCCCTAACGTCGTTCAAACAGTTGTTAAATTATTATGGAATGAAATATTTAAAGCACACGTCGGAACGGGGAGAAAGATAGGGGAAATCGTCGTTTATTGTACTGTTCGATATCTGATAAACCGTACGGACGATTTATTATTCATGTTTACCTGTTCTTTCGAAGTGTATCAACGAGATTGTTGTCGTATACAGTTAGCGTAGACGAGCTACAGTTCGAGAAACAACCGCAGCTTGTTGTTCGTTTCCTATTTCCGCGCGATTATCGCCGTGTTTTCAAGGTTATTGATTTGCAAAACCGGGGCAACGCGTGCGGTTACGTTTTATATGTAAATACAGGCAAAAATAACGCGGCTCGTTGATTATTTATAGCATCCAGAGCGAAAAGGTTGTAGGAAATTGTTATTAAAAAGAAAAAAAGCCTCCAATTTCATCACCGGTTTTTCTTTCGAGGATATTGTTGTACATGTTTATACAGCATCGAACATAATTTTAATACGCACGAAGCTAGAAATTTTCATTTACATTCACTTGTTATGCACATGAATAATGAAACTTTCGCCTTTTCTCGAATTTGTAAAAAATTCGCAAAAGCAGAAAAGAAAATGTAGACTTAAGAATTCGTTTACCGATAGAATTTGATTTTATGTTTTGTATCTCGTTGTTCTCCATAGTGATCAGTAAAAAAATTCCAAAATTTACACGGTTGTAATTTAATCTTGAATAAAAGTAATCATCAAGTATTAAAGAATTATATAAAATTATGAATAAATATTACGTACAGCACTTATTTTCATTTATCAATCAAACAAACATTATAAATAATCATGATTGACACTTACTTCAATTAAATATTTACGGTCCTCATTTACTCAATAACACTAGTTATTAATAATAATATATTTTATACTAAAAATTAATAATATAATTATTATAGTATATTATTAAATATTACTACTATTATACTATATATTATAATAATATATATATATATAATATGATAATAATAATAATAATATACTATTAATATATTATAATATTTAATACATTATCAATATTTATTATAATAATAATAACAATATAATAATAATATTAATAATATAATTATTAATTAGTAGAGTAACATTTAGAAACATCGCTCAAACAAAAGCTACGAAAACTACAAGATGCTGTAACAAACACTGAACAGTCAGAATACAACGCACAGCTCTCGCGTAATACTTCAGCCCTTCGAAATGTCAGTTTCCCCCGCAAACACATTTGAGAGTTCCTTCATTCGCGATTCTAACGAGAGACACTCGAGCTTCATCCGCCGGAAAGGACGCGGATTCTTTCGCAATTAAAAGTTTCGTTAACGAACTGCCTAATCGATACATCATTACCGGCGGGTGGGTGGGAGTGGGTGGCGGAGGGATGAAAATACGCGCCGGCATAACAAGTCTGCGGGAAGTAATTCTCCGCGGGAGGGAACTTCTGCCGATCCGCAGAGAGAAAATGCATTATCAGTGGCTGGGTGAATCGGGGGTGGAGGCGTAGACACGGTTTGTCGGTTACAACTTCAACATCCTGTTGCCCGTGCCGTTCTCGTTCTGAATAATTCATGGCCCAGCATCTCGAAATGCTCGGTTTTCCTCTAATATATATCGATAACCATCATCTTCGACCACAAGGCGATTTTCCACCCCCGTCGTCGTCGTCGTCGTCGTCGGCAGACGATAATCGCCACGGGATCTCCCCTACATGTCGCGGCAACCTATCGGTCCAGCCGCGTTGCATTGTTTTTCCAGACTGTTCCGGTGCTTCGGTCGTCTTCTCATCTTTCGAGAGACACGTGTCACGCATTGTACAGAGTGTTTCGTAACTTGTGGGAGCCGACTTCGAGAGCCGATTGTACGCCTAAAAATAATGAAAAAGAAGTCATGTAAATGTATGTCCTCTCTGTCTTCGTTTATGAGATATAATGAATTTTCTGTTTTAATTACGTTTACAAATGATGCTCGAAATGACCACGTTGCATTTGAAAGACAAGCCTGCACTCGTCTTGTCATTCATCTGGTTACTCTCTCTCTATCATTCCTGGTGTTTCTCGAATTTGTCGGAAGCCTTGCTCTATTCTATTTCGTAGTATTTCAGCATTTTCAATCGATGTTGCGTGTACAATAGATTTTAAATGTCGCCACAAGTGAAAATCTAATGGATTCAAATCCGGAGAACGAGCAGGCCATGCAATAGGACCTCCACGACCAATCCATTTATTTGCAAAGTGTCGATTTAAAAATTGCCTAACCACTCGGCTGAAATGCGGCGGAGCTCCATCATGCGTATACCGCGTACGAAGTTTAATATCGACTGGAACTTCCTCTAATATTTCGTGTAAACGCGTGCTCAAAAAATCAACGTACTTTGNAATTATGATTATTATGAAAATTGAATATACCATCCCTGGTAAAACTAGCTTACTAGAGTTTGCTCTGTTTATAAAATTCATTATATCTCATAAACGAAGGCAGATATGACATCTGTTTATGTGACTTTTTTTTCATTATTTTTAGGCGTACAATTAGCTCCCATAAGTTACGAAAATACACCCTGTATAACGTACTGTAAAGAGCATACACCAATGATGATTCGATAATTTGAACTGTCTTGTTGTAACTTTGTGAAAAAAGATTTGGTCTCTCGAAGGCGTAGAAGATTTTCACTTTTACAGTCGTGAGTTCGGTTTGTTTTTCTTTTTCTCTTTTTGTTCTTCGTATCTTCAAAAAAGTGGGAAAATGAGGATTCTTTTTTCTCGGAAGTTTTTGTCGAATACCGTATTTTATATTATATTTCTCTGTCTCGTGTCTCATATTGATGACGTTCAGTATTGCTAACATACTATTAACATTTCTATGACTTTTCATATTCCAGACTTTTTTTTTTCTTTTTTTTTCTTTCACATTCTACACTTAGTTTCCTTTTTCCTGCATTCTTAAGCACGCGCAACAATTTTGACAAATTTAATTTATTTCCCGAATTTTGTCTCTTTAGGATAAAGAAACATACACCCATAGACGTAATTTGTGGGCATCTGCGAAATTTTTGTCCCACGAAATGTATTTTTGTGACTCACAAGTTTCCCACAATTCATTTGTAGATGACTTTTCAGAAAATTTTTCATCGCGTAGATTGTTTTTGTTGATCTATGTAATTCATCGTGTTGGACAGTAAAGTTGTAAAGCATATTAGCTCTATAAGTTACGAAATTCATTTTGCGAGATAACAAATTTCGTAGACGCCCGCAAATTAGCTTCGTGGGAAATTTGTGGGCTGCATAGTTCAATTTTACCAAAATTTCAATGTCCAGAAATTTGCAAGAATTAAAGTAATTTAAAGTAATTTATGGGAATTCTCTTGTCGAATTTTTGCAACCTATATTTTAACTCTGAATTTTTCCTCACACTCTAATGAAAGTACAGGACGAGAATATGGAAAATAGGACGTGGAACGTTGGAAACACTGTGTCAGAAATATAATATGAAGTATGAGATACGAAATGTTGGATATGGGATATGAATTGCAACGTGTGGGATAAATAATGTAGACTATTACATACGGGAATACGCGATGGAATGTGGGACGTGGATTATGAGATTTGGAATACGGACGTATAGGAAATAACATATGCGATTTGTGATATGAATGTAGAATATGGAATGCACGATACGATGGGATGTATTGTATACGAACAGTGGAATGTGGGATGAGGAATATGAGATTTGGGATGTAGGATACAGGATAACGGGATATGGCGACTCGAGATTTGGAATATGAGATATGGAATGCACCATGCAGGACGTGGAATATGCGAGTGTAGATTACGAGATGTAAACATAATTTCGAGACGAGACACGAGGCATGTGGAATGTGGAATATAAAATATAAAATATGCAAAGCAAGCATAAGATGAACCATGCATGCACATAGTATGTTGTCCAATTATTCAGCGAAAATTATGTGAATCTTGAAATACATTCATACAAGTACATGATCCAATGGACAAACCTTGAGCCTCGTCGATCAATTTATTCGCGAGCCTCCTGTTCTTGCAAATTGTATGGCATTAGCGATACAACAGCGGCAGACGGATGTAATTAGTAATAAAATTGTTCCACGTGCCGCGTTGTCGTCATGTAGACGACATACGCGACGAGCAGGATCGTTTTTCATTATACGACGATCACGATCGTACACAATGTTATGGTACATCAAGGGGAGGGAGAAACGTATGTAACGCACGAAACTATTTCCTCTCGTAGGGAAACGTAATTTCAGCGTTTCCTATTTTCTAACAATGTACACTGTGTACTGCTTCCGGGTGCTCGTCGACGAATTAATTACTTCAGCAAAATTATTCGCGAAAAGTGGGAACATAAAAAAGGAAACGGTAAAAATTCTTTCTGGAGCGCGGCGTACGATTAACACCTTGCGCTGGCAATTGGTTCGCGGACCATAACGAGTGACCGAATCGTGTACAATAATTCGTCGCTTTTTTTCCTTCTTGAACTCGTCGTTATGACATCACTGGATAGAAGAAATTATTAAGAAGTAATAAACTTATATTATAAGTTGAATTACAATAAAAATTGAATTACAATAAAATTGAATTGATATAAATTGAATTACAATGAAAATTTATCGTTTGTGTTGCCTGGGTTACATTTAAATATACTTAAACGCTAGAACCAGCGACGAAAAGGTACAATATTTCTAGCAATTGAATTACAATAAAATTGAATTGCAATAAAATTCAATTGATATAAATTGAATTACAATTGATCGTTTGTGTTACCTGGGTCACATTTAAATATACTTAAACGCTAGAACTACCGATGAAAAAGTATAATATTTGTAGCGTAGAAATTCAAGCGCAAGGTACAAGAAAAAGTTAATAATTCGATAGAAAGGACACAATCTTCTATTAATATATTTCATTAAGAGTCACTCGAGTATAATATACACTGCTGTAAATGTGTGAAATTTCCATTAAAAATTATAAATTAGTCATTTTGACCACTTTGGTAGTTCTAGCGTTAAAACTGAGAAAACGTTGCAATTTAGGGGAAAAAATTCTCGACGCGCAAGAGGTAAACAGTATACATCAACATTCCGATTAACTTCACCTTAGTTTGTTTAACAATTCACCTTGTTCGTCGCTCTGCGAGCTCAAGAATTTTTTTACGACAACGAGAATGAGGATTCGGTGATCTGACGGTTCGATTCGAAATTGATAATTAATCGACTCGTAATTAGATATTAATTATTTATAGCTTTACTCGTTGCGATAAATCGAACGTAATAGTCTTTCAATTTTCGTAAGAGAAATGTCGAAAAATTGTAGTCGCATAAATATGGAAATATTGAACAACCGTTTGACAAACTTGAAATATATATATATATTTTTTTTTACACAAATGTTACGCGAGTATCGTCCAGTTATTATTATTTTCGAATGTTGTTCCGAATGCTTTCGGAGAGAGAAAATACAGTTTGTTTAATGCGTTCTAGTTTGATCATGTCGTACGATGTTCCACGATTTTGCGTTTTGTGTTTAACACATTAAATAACTCGAGGTGAAAACGACGAAGTGTAAAACATTATTCCTGAAAGATACTTTTTATTTACACTTGATGGGTATTTCCTTCCAAACGAAATATTATAAATCGGATCGGAGCAGAGAAGAAAGTTGAAAAAGAGAAAGAAAAGATATTTGCCAAAAACATTTCTGTGAAACGATAGAAAAGACATAATTGTCTTACGAAACCTGTTGCGACAAAAACGAAAAAAAAAACAATTGATAAAGTTGAAAAATCCGACATTTCGACGTAAAGCAAACCGGAAAACAAATTGCCGGAAAATAGATGAATAAACTGACATTTATTATCAAAATTGCCATTTATTATCAAGTGAATTCATTCGTGCAGTTTGTCATTTTCTTATCGAAACATGCTGCAACACCACCTGCGAAATATCGCAGGATTTTGGATATTTCCACGCGCGTAGTCAGCGTTACGCGAATTAATCGTCACGGAACGCGACACGGCCGGCTTACATCGTTCACCTCCTCATTTGCACAATACATTTGCACAATAAAGGGCTCATTTACATGAACCCTTCGCGTCGTTCTCTCGTTCCAATTCCATCGCGGGAGCCTATCTATCGTGTCCGTGCGTGCTACGTCAACAATTATCCTTTGTAAAACTGAACTTCGGTCGATCGCGGAATAAATCGAACTGGTTTGCGAATTTTTCTCGGTCTTCAGAGGGAACAGGGAAGACCGAGAAAAGAGGACAGAAACGGGAAAGAAGGGACGATTTAATTGATACGAGGGAATTTAATTGATCTGTTTCAGTAGCGGGATGGTGCAGAGTGTCGGTGCTAATTTATCCCCGGACCAAACATTCGGATCGATCCGTTCGCTGTCAGTGACGAGGGAAGTCGCCAGTTTTCCTTTGTCAAGAACGCCTACGCCGCCTCCGCAGCACAGGTAGATAATTTTTATCAATTTGTCTCGTTCGCCACCGCGTCGCGTCGCTTCACCCACGCGTTACAACGCTTCTCCAACGAGTATTCAACGGTCTCGGTGTGCGAAAAACCTAAGTTAAGAGGTCAAAACAGTGTAAAATTTTCAAAAGAATCGATTTTTTTTTCTTTTTTTTACTTTAAATAATAGTTTGAAGTCTTAGAAATAAGATACAAAAGGTCCTTTTAGCTTTTAAAACGATTTATTTCGGGGTGTAATAATAAATCCGCGGATACAGAATAATTGAATTTGTATCACTGGTTACAACTTTAGGCAGTGTTATAAAGTGAAGAAGAGAATATTGATAAACCAATATTGGTAAATCTTTTAAGGGGGTCAGGACAGTGTAAAATTTTCAAAAAATCGATTTTTTCTTTTTGTTTTGTTTGTGTTTTAAATAGTAGTTTGAAGTCTTAGAAGTAAGATGCGAAAGGTCCTAGCCTTTAAAACGACTTATTTCGAGGTGTAATAGTAAATCCGCGGATACAGAATAATTGAATTTGTATCACTGTTTACGACTTTAGGCAGTGTTATAAAGTGAAGAAGAGAATATTGATAAATCTTTTAAGGGGGTCAGGACAGTGTAAAATTTTCAAAAAATCGATTTTTTTTTGTTTGTGTTTTAAATAGTAGTTTGAAGTCTTAGAAGTAAGATGCGAAAGGTCCTAGCTTTTAAAATGATTTATTTCGGGGTGTAATAATAAATCCGCGGATACAGAATAATTGAATTTGTATCACTGGTTACAACTTTAGGCAGTGTTATAAAATGAAGAAGAGAATATTGATAAAACAATATTGATAAATCTTTTAAGGGGGTCAGGACAGTGTAAAATTTTCATAAAATCGATTTCTTTTTTGTTTTGTTTGTATTTTAAATAGTAGTTTGAAGTCTTAGAAGTAAGATGCGAAAGGTCCTAGCTTTTAAAACGATTTATTTCGAGGTGTAATAATAAATCCGCGGATACAGAATAATTGAATTTGTATCACTGTTTACAACTTTGAGCAGTATTGTAAAGTGTAAATCGTGTGATTTAAATATTACTTTTGGCGAATCGAATATTAAGGGACTTGGATTCAATTTAGTTGCGAATTGTAGAAACTGTGAGCTGCGATATATAAGTAAACAAAAGGTAAGTAAAGGATACGTATGAGAAATGACGTTCTGAAACTATCAACGCGTTTTTCTCGAAACTAGGTTTGCGAGATATCTCGGTATCTAACCAACCGATTACTGTGAAACTTGGTGCGTGTAACATTTACTAGGGATTGACGATCGAACATTTTTCAGTTCCTAACAATTTCGAAAAATATAAACAAAACACTGTAGAAATTTTTGGCATAAATTCGACACGTCAAATAGCTAGCTGGTATTTTCATAATTTTCACAAAAATGAAAATGTTAAGTTTTCAGTTTCTAACAATTTCGAAAAATATAAACAAAACACTGTAGAAATTTTTGGCATAAATTCGACACGTCAAATAGCTAGCTGGTATTTTCATAATTTTCACAAAAATGAAAATGTTAAGTTTTCAGTTTCTAACAATTTCGAAAAATATAAACAAAACACTGTAGAAATTTTTGGCATAAATTCGACACGTCAAATAGCTAGCTGGTATTTTCATAATTTTCACAAAAATGAAAATGTTAAGTTTTCGAATATTGTTTTCAATGCTTTCGGAGAGAGAGAAAGTGCATTCCAGCTTGATCATGTCGTACGATATTTTCCACGATTCTGCGAGTGTTTAATGCATTAAATAATTCGAGGTGGAAACGACGAAGCGATAAGCATCATTCGCGATTCCTGAAAGATACTTCTAATTTACACCTGACGGGTACTTTCTTCTAAACGATATAAATCGGATCGGAGCAGAGGAGGAAAGTTCCCTTTGAGGAAAGTTGAGAGGTAAAAGTTCGCTCGTTGCAGGCGCAGACGCGGCGTGAAAGCTTCCCTGCACCTTGGGAACATTGGTGAAACTACTTTTAAAACAACATTATGCAATTCGAACTTTCCGAAAGTGGACATTACGTTCCGCCAGTGTATTTTATCATGCTGTGAAAAAAAAAAAATAAAAACGCCAGAACAAGAAAATCTATATTCAGTGTACCCTTCAATTTGCAACGAGTATAAATTCAATGCGCTAGCTAGAACTATATTCTATAGTTTGTATGTTTCGAAACGAGCGACTTTTTGCCATTTGCAATTTTCTTCTGGAAATTTCGAAAAGTTTTGTGAATACTTAAAAAAATAATTGTTGGCACACCTGGCTTCTCTCGCAACATTTGCGTGAAAATAAATGATATATCAGCAAAATCTGTTCCCATAAATAGCATACTGCCAAAAGTAACAATTTCTACAAATGAGTTACATTGAATAATAATACAAGTAATATGAAAATTCGTGAATATGAAAAATGTTCTATTATTATTATAAATTATTAAAAATATTCTTAAAATATTTTTATTAAACATTTTAAGAATATTGTTAAATTTAATAATATTCCAAGAATATTATTAGTTTACAATTATATTATTTAGTTTACAATATTATATTATATTACAAATATTATTATTTTAATTATTAAAAATACTCTTATTTACAAACGAAGCGTTCTTTTTATTGCAGCTCTGCTATGTGCTTAAACAGAGTATAAAATATTTTTGATGATTTAAAAACAAGCATGCCTAATATTGACGTGATATCGTTCGATAATATTCCAGAATTTACAAAAATAATAAAACAATATTTTGCCGTTTTTCTAATAATATTCCCCCATTAGATGCAAATTAAGCATTGGAATTACAAGCGTATCGATACCTTTTTGACTCTAGAATCTTTATATTTCTTGTATTATTATTGTATAATTCATTATTAGCTCACATTATTCACGTGTTGTAGTAAATTTTATGTCTAGTAAACTATTTATGGAACCAGATTTCGCTAATGCATCATAAAGATATCAGCGAAAGACCATTAGATGTGCCATTAATTTTTTTTTTATCCATTGTATATTAAACTTAGTAAAGCTTAGTAAAAAAAAATTTGCAAAACGAATATCAAGATCTTACGTAGAGGTCAAGTTAAGTGAGACGAAGTTACTTCTTAGAGACACGTTGATACTCGAGCGAACAGAAATTTGCATGTAGGTAAGTTTGTATGCAAAATTCATTATAAAACGTGTATTGCTTTTGTAATAACATGCTCTGGTATATATTTGTAATTTTCTACGTGACTGATACAACTGTTGCTGCATAAAACTCCATGAAATAATAAGGACATCTACTGTTGCATTTGTTGCACTTATTGTGCATTATCGTGTTGTTAGTAATCAATTGTATACAAACTCCAATTATATTATGAATTATATTATATTATAAATATTATTATATTATTATTTAGTTTACAATTGTATTATATTGTAAATATTATTATACTATTATTTAGTTTACAATTATGTTATATTACAAATGTTATTATATTATTGTTTAGTTTACAATTATATTATATTACAAATGTTATTATATTATTATTTAGTTTACAGTTATGTTACAAATATTATTATATTATTATTTACTTTACAATTATATTATATTACAAATATTATTATATTATTATTTAGTTTACAATTATACTATATTACAAATATTATTATATTATTATTTAGTTTACAATTATATTATATTACAATATTATTATATTATTATTTAGTTTACAATTATACTATATTACAAATATTATTATATTATTATTTAGTTTACAATTATGTTACATTACAAATATTATTATATTATTATTTAGTTTACAATTATATTATATTACAAATATTATTATATCATTATTTAGTTTACAATTATATTATATTATAAATTTTATTTCCTCCCCGACAAGTTTACAAACAAAATCTTACTGCACAGGTTTTATTATAAAAAATTAAATTAAATTTTTAAAATCCCGCAGTTTATTAATAACGTGAAAAAGAAACTCACCGAAGCGAAACGACAAGGCACGCATTCGTCGATACCTGCATGATGTTTGCCCATTTTTCCTATTATCGACGCACCGGTAAAGCTATAGTATAAATCGCTATACCGTAATATCCTGTTCGCCGGTAAACGGATACTGGTAAAACGGTAAACGGTAGACGAAAAATCATTGACTTACTGTTAGGAATTTTAACGAGTCAATAATAGATGCTTATGCGGGAGCAGAACCAAGATTGTAAGAATCGTAAGTAGGTAGGAATAAATAGGATTCGTAGATAGACAATCGACGTCTATTGATCTTGAAGTTCGGCCAAAACAAAGAGCTGGAGAACCAGCTCGGGGAATTAGTATGCTTTGAAATGTCAATTAATTTTGGAATTAGTTTACACGTGTTAATCTTAGAGCAAGAATTTCGACAGTAGTATTTCAGGATCGGTTAAATGTCTGAATCTGAAATGAATCTTTCGGATTTACAACAATTTGAATTTTGACAGTAGATGATGAGTTTTGATAATTATTCTTATTTAATAATATTGAAAGAGAAAAAGAAACGAAATTGATTAAATATATTTTGTTCAAACGTTTGTCATTCTTTTTATACTCGAGTCATAAACTTTTATTTCACGAAAAATTTATTTTATTCGAAACCAATAAACTTCGTCGATATATTCAAAATCTTGACGTAAAAGTTTACTTATATATATATGTATGTATGTATTTTTACGATTAGAAAGCAAGCATATAAAGTTGTCGTTAAAGAAACGAAATTGATTAAATATATTTATATATATGTATATTATATTACTATATTTATATATATGTATATTATATTACTATATTTATATATATATATATGTATTTTTACGATTAGAAAGCAAGTACATAAAGTTGTCGTTAAAGAAACGAAATTGATTAAATATATTTTGTTCAAACGTTCACTCTTTTTATACTCGAGTCATAAACTTTTATTTCGCGAAAAATTTATTTTATTCGAAACCAATAAAAAACTTCGTCGATATGTTCAAAATCTTGACGTAAAAGTTTACTTATATATATATATGTGTATTTTTACGATTAGAAAGCAAGTACATAAAGTTGTCGTTATTCTTTGAGTTATAAATTATTTGAGTTAATATTTGAGTTATAAATTTATTTTTTAAAATCAACAAACTTGGGCCAAGCAGAGTTGGGCATACTTTATTCGAACAACGAGTAAAGAATAAATCTGTCAAATTTATTCGTAAATAACGAATAACAATTTTATTTGGAAGAAAAATTATTCGTTCTTTACGAATAACGATTTTGTTCGAATAAAGATTATTCGAACATGACTTTACTCGTTATACGGAGTTCAATGATGACTAATTGTAGCCACATACCGAATTGATTATTTCCAGGTTTCACGAGCCTCTTTTCTGCAGCCGCAGTTGGGCATTATTCGAATAAAATTTTATTCGAATAACATTTCGAATAAATTCTTCGAATAAAATTTTATTCGTAGAATATTTCTTCTAAAATTTTATTCAAAGAATTGATTCGAAATGTTATACGAATAAAATTTTATTCGAACAATTTATTCGAAATGTTATTCGAGCTAATGCTATAATGCCCAACTTTGAAGCTAGGAATATGTAAAATCGATACAATGAAATTTCTGGGATATGCGATCACCACCGATGATTAATCGTTCCATCGTTGTGCGGGATGCTTGGAGCGTGATGCGATACGCGACAAGATAAACGATCAGCAAGAAACTCGGCGGCACAAAGCGCTCGCAAGAATATTGACCTATCTAGAATGCGAATTGCAAGGCGTCGGCTTGATGCGTATTCAACCCGAGCTATCGAACTCGAACGCGTTCGAAGCGGGGGCCACGTGCTTCCTGTCGTCGGACTTTGTCACGATGAATTTTACAGAGTTGCGCCGCGCTATTTATCACTGCGAGATCGATGGCATCTGTCTAGCGGAGAAAGAACTACGCGGTTGGTAACATATACGTACATACACTGCTACGTGATGCTAGCACGTGATAATGCGCGTGATTATTTTCGTAATTGGTGTCATCGCTCGTTCGTCGACGACGTACGGTACAATCGGGTCAAGACGAGAGTGAACTCTCTTTACAGGCAAGTCTCTTAACAGGAGAATGCGATTCTTGCAATTTCAAAATTTCAAAATTTCTTTTCCGTGAAAATTCCTTTTTATTGAAAACAACGATGCGCTCGTCGTTTGACATTTATTCGACACTACTAAAGCTACCAGTTTAACACTGTTTAACATTGTTTTACGTTGTTTAATTATCATTTTTAACACTGTTTCACATTGTTTAACGCTAAAGCTATCAATTTAAATTGTTTTACGTTGTTTAACACTAAAATTAGCAGTTTAAGCTTAACATTGTTTTATATTTTGTTTAACGCTAAAACTACCGATTTATATTTATTTACGTTGTTTGAACTATCGTTCACTTTAAACTATTACGCTAAAACTTATCAGTTTAACATCGTTTAACATTGTGTAACACTGAGAACAGTTTAACGTTGTTTAACGCTAGAACTACTAATTGATAAAAATTTTATGAAACTCATAAATTTCGTATATAATGAAATTCATTAATTTTGTATATAATTATGTATATATAATGTATGTAATCTATATATATAGCATGAATGAACCAACTATGTTGAAAACTACGTCGATATTTTTTAAAAAATCATGTAACAGTCCTTTTTGAAACTTCTGCATTGACAATTCTGAGTTTTCAAAAATGTTTTTACGTAATAAAGATACTTATTTTTTCAAGAGTTATTAAAATTCAGACATCTCTAAGAGTATTGGCAAATTCTTTTCATGACCGTAAATCCACCATAATCTTGAATCACTTGAAGATTGAAATCTCCGCTTTATAACGACCTCTCGAAAGGTCGCTGTACCATCCTCTACTTGAACTTTGAATATCAAAGTTGGACGACAAAAATACAAAAATTCCCCAACAATTCGTCAAAGTTCGATAAATTGCCGAGAAAAAAACTCGTACACCAAGATCGTTGTTATTCAACGTTTTTAAAAATCACGAATTTCGACAGTTTTCGAGAAACTTCGATAAATCGATGTCTCGTGCGAAACCTAACCTAAAAACCATTTCACCACTCGTCGTATCTCGTACGTAACAACTTCACATCGCCACTTTTGTTAACTATCTTTATCGCAGTCTATCTTCTTTTATTAAATTAACTCAAGCGAATGAAAGTTGACCTGAGAATATATTTAATTTATATATTTATATAAGTTATATTATATTATATTATATTTATAGATTTAACTTAAAAAAAAAGACAGGTAAACTTAAATTGAACTTAAATTCAATTTGGAAATTTTTTTCACAGAGTATATTCACGTTTATCTCAGAATATAGTTAATATAAGTTAAATATTTATATAAGTTATATTATATTCATATATTTAACTTAAAAGAAGAAAGTTAGACTTAAATTGAACTCGTATTCAACTTGAAAATTTATTTTACAGAATATATTCAAGTTTATCTCAGAATATATTTATGCTATACATTTATATAAGTTATATTATATTCATATATTTAACTTAAAAAAAGAAAGATAGACTTAAATTGAACTCGTATTCAACTTGAAAATTTATTTTACAGAATATATTCAAGTTTACCTCAGAATATATTTATGTTATACATTTATATAAGTTATATTTATATATTTAACTTGAAAAAGAAAGTTTGAACTTAAATTAAATTTGAAAGTTTATTTCACAGAATATATTCAACTTTGTCTCAGAATATATTTAAGTTAAATATTTTTATAAGTTATATTATATTCATATATTTAACTCGAAAAAAGAAAGTTAAACTTAAATTGAACTTTAATTCAACATTGAAAGTTTATTTCACAGAATATATTCAACTTTATTTCAGAATATATTTAAGGTATATTTATATAAATTATATCATACTTATACATTTAATTTGAAAAAAAGAAAGTTAAACTTAAATTCAACATTGAAAGTTTATTTCACAAAATATATTTAAGTTATATTTATATAAATTATATTACACTTGTATATTTAACTTGAAAAAACAAAAGAAAGTTAAACTTAAATTGAACTTAAATTCAACATTGAAAGTTCGTTTCACAGAATGTTGTTGTTAACTCAAAAAAAAAGAAAAAAAAAAAAACTGGAAAGTTGAACTCAAATTTAAAAACTCAAGTTTTAAAAGCTTTATTTAAGCCTGTCTTTTCTCGCTTGTAGAACGGCCGCACTGACGAACCCGGAGGATTTAGCGAACGTGGGAAGCCCGCTGAGGGAAGCATCGCCCCGACCGGAAGTGCGGGTGGTCGCACCGTCTCACCGGCCGCCGTCCGCTCTCGCCACCGTCAACAATAACGCCAGCAACCCCGCCAACGGATCCTCGAATCGCAAATCGGTCAGCATACTGCTTCCGGAGCATACGAGCGGATGACCCGAGCAGCAACACGGTTTCGTTCATCGTTGCGACAAGGAACCACCGCCGTCGATTTAGGAATCCAGCAACAGCAGCAGCAGCATCAACGAACCGACAGCGAATGGCGACGCAGAGAAACTACGAAGGAGGAAGCAACGATGACGTTGGCGATTCTGACACTTACAGAACGTAGCTGAACGCGACGCGAGACTCGAAAAAAAGCGACCGAGAATCATCGTGGCCGGTTTACTCTGCCACGTTTACTCCGTGGCAACCGTTAATCCAGCAACGAATCCGAATGATCGGCGAGCAATTACGGGCGTCGTTCGTTCTTGGCAGCGAGATCCCTCTGTCGAGCTGCACGAGTTGAACGGAGTTGGACAGGCGGACGGCAGGGCTTAGTTAATTCACGCTATTGGCAAACATTCAATTATCGGCTTCGCCTCCGCCGGCCGAAATTGCTGGATAATTCATCGCTGCCGGAGCGATAGCCGAGACAACGACTTTCATCTGTCCTAGCTATCGTTGCTCCTCCCCCAACTGCGACCTCATCCGTTCGATTCGCAACGTATCACGTAGATTGGTCTGTCTTTCTTTTTTTTTTTTCTTCTTTCCTCTCTCTCTTCGGTTTTTCCTTTCCTGCGTTTGGTACTTTCGTTCGAGCTGTTATTTTTTTTGTCACCGTGTACGAAGATCATACACACACACACACAAGTGTGATATGAGTCAACCGTTTCTGTACGAAACCGGTCGGAGAGATATGTTTCAAGATATGTTTAGTTCAGCCTGTACGTGTTTCTTTTTTAGTCCGAAGAAGTCGAATTACAAATGGAATTGATCGGCAGCATGTCGCATTGTCGGATGTTTCTCTTTTACAAAGGACTCGTCGCGTAAAATCTTCACCTATGGCCTTTACACGCATGCAAAAGGTGCTACCAAGGGGGAAACGTTCGTCGTGTCGAACTTTTGCCAACATTCTTCGAGATCTTCCTCGAGATATTGTCGCGTCTGCGTAGATAGTGCGTCTATCTTCTTCGAAAGAGAAGAAAGAGAGAAGGAAAAAGAAACGGGGCGACCTGCTGTAACGCGGAATGAAACTTCGAGCCACGATATGCCAAAGCTTCGAAAAAACTATTCTTTGTAGCGTCCCTGTTGGCTTGTTGAACCTTGCGCGATTTGACGCCGTGTTAAACACTTAAGAAACACGATCCTGCCATGCGAGAGGTAAATACCTTTACCTCTTCCTCTCGTGCGAGAAAAGAAAAAAAGAAGAAGAAATACTTTTCTTCTCTTCGTGCTACGCTGAGAACATAGAACCGGAAAACAGGGAAGAGGCGAACGGGTAGTAGGAAATTCGGATTACTCGACGCCGCAACGCGATGCTTGCCGTTCGTTCGAAGTTCAATCCTTTCACGGTGTAACGAGAACAACTTGCGAGCTTCAAAATTTGGCGGACGATCCCGCTCGATGTTCAAACGTACTTGGGGAAAGTAACTGTTCGAAGCTGGAACTTGGAAAACGATAGCGTGCGAAATTTGCTCGTCGACGGATGACGAAGCTTCTTACGAGTATATTAATTTCAATAATGGCGATAAGCTGCATTCGAAATATTCCCGATCAAGCCAATTGTTTCCAAAAAAAAAAAAAAAAAAAAAAAAAAAAAAAAAAAAAAA